TCTTTGGTTCTCCCACCGGAACCCCTCAGGCCTGCGATTCCACATCCTGAGTAAAATGTAGCCGAGCTCAGAGAGTGTTTTTAAGGAACATTCCAGAAATTCCATCTTGGAGAAAACTATGGTTAGGAAAACACATTCTACTTTTTTGTACACCACCCCCCAAACCCCCAACGACTTTAGTATAACATTTTGTGCAATATTTATTGTAAGTACACTGACTTTTTACTGCTAAAAGCTCAGCAGTGGCCATGTGCCTCCTCGCTGGATTGGCTGCTCGCCGCTGTAATGACAGCCCCCCCATCCCGACCTACCCCCCCACCCACCTGCCGAAGCTCTTACCGGATGGCGCACTCTGAGTGAGCTCGCCCCCCTACCCCCTTCACCGCCATCACGGAAGCCTCCAGTGTGTCCCTTTTTGCCACTCTGCTTCCCTGCTGTCATCTGGAGAGCCCTCCACGAGTGGCCAGGGATCACACACTAGGAGGGATCTGAAGGTCTCTCAAGGGCGGCAGCTGGGCGACTCTGCTCCGCGGGATCCTGCTGGTCAGCATGCCCTCTGCTTTCATGGACCCAGATGCAGTGCTTTTAAACAGGGCTTTGTGGATGCCAACAAATATTAAATATTTAAACACCTGCAAAATACCTCATAATTATCAGACAACAAACAACACAGTGGTACCTCAGTACCTGCTTTTGTGTTTCGTTTCTAATCCATGATGAATTTAATATAAATCTTAAGTTTCTACCTTAAATGTCCCCAAATTTATATGACACCTGCTGCCTTTCTAAAATACTTCATTACTGTGGAGAACCTGCCGACCCCTGTCGTGATGTGTCTTGCGTGGTGACGCAGCGGAGTGCGTGCGGGGTATATTTTCTGACAGCTCTGGGCTTATTACCTGTGACACTTGGCCGTTTAGTGATCTCTCTGCAGACTCGGCGTTCCCGCGGGTGCGCGCTGACGTGGGCGCGTTAAAGGAGCGGTTCCCGCGTGTGGGCCGCAGGCGTGATGCGCTCGCTGCGGTTGACGGTGATGCGCAAGAGCACCGCGCAGACACACGTCGCTAGATCTCTGCCTTAAGGACCTTCAGTGAAAACATCATTTGTCAGAATAATATCATGCATGAAAAACGTTTGTATTCATAACCAATATGTTCCTTTTTGCGATTACAGTGTCTGCAGAAACAACTGATAAACTGCGTTCATTTTCTCTAGCAATTACTGCAATATTGGGAATGAGATGAGGAAATTAAAAATAATCCAGTTTATGAATTAATGATTGAATGTGGATATTTTTAATTTTTAAAACAGTATGAGAATATCTTATTTAATTCTTAATGTGTAAGATTTTCCATGTTCAAATGATTTTTCGTCTAATTTAAAACAAAAACAGTGTGGCAAATGCAAAAAAGACACTGCTTAATGTGTACCTGATATTAGTGTTAAAACAATGACTTATTTTCCTGGTTATGCGGTAATTTGACTACTGTATGTTGCCTAGCCGGGTAGCAAATTAAACTGTGGATTATTACTGGTAAACCAGACGCCTGATATGATTCTGGACCGCAAGGAGTTCCTCGGTCAGAAGTATTTCACCACCAAAATGTTTGAATTGCTTTATCAATATGGACAACTTCAGAACTCGGGACAGCTCAGTTTCAGACCAATTCAGAGGCAGGCGCAGAAACGGGAATGGTTCAGCACCATGGAGAGTAATTTGGCTGCTCCACTTCACGGTAGCCCTGCATGGCGCTGGTCAGCATCCATGTGAGTGAGGGAGTCCCCTCCCGAGTGACAAACCGACAGCTAGCCCCAGCCATTGCCCATGCTGTCAAGCGTGTGTAGCCTGCATAGCTGGTGAAATTCAGTTCAATAAAGAAGCATAGTGGCCAATAGGTTTACAAGTACTGAAGAAAACGACGGTAAACAGTCATTCATTCATTAAAGGTTACCTGTTGCGTTCAGTCCTATTGAACTGTTCGTCGTTATCCGACAGAAAAGGAGAACTTTAGTATGGTATATAAACCGCATGATTTGGGGGGAAAATATTTAACCTTCTTTTCTTTAGCATCTTTAGCCTATTTCATAATTTAAGTCGTGTAAATAAACTTCTTTCCGTGGCAAATGTTTTTCCAGGTGGACCCATTTTCTTTCTGGTACCCTATATCTAGGCCTGTAGGTTACTGTTCGGTGGTTTTAAAGGAACGATCTCTTATTATGGTTGTGATTAAATTTACAGGCTCTTATTACGGTCGTGATTAATTTTCTGTTTTAATTAGCCTAACGGCATTTATTTGCGGCCAGACCTGAAACTTAGCTCACGCAAGCAAAACTGTCAAACAATTCATTGCAACAGCAGTTTAATACATTAAAGTACCCTGGATCGTAACAATCTTGTGAGACACTCTGAAAATGTTAACATATTCCAGGCGCGGTATCGGAATAACAAATGGAAGACGATTGTTTGCAACACTAAATGATGTTTAATCATTGGGGCTTTCGTAATTCTGGCAGGTGAATTTGTATAACTCTGAGGCTTCATTTTTTTTTCACGAATCGCCGAAACTATTACGTTCTTTACATGAGCATTTTTCGGTGTTATGGAATTTCTAGCCACCTATATCGAGCTGGTATTATAAAATTTTGAGATTTATATTTGTAAGATTATAAGAGTTGGAACATAGCTTAATTATTACATGCATGCTTATCGTATTAATTATTAAGTAGGCCTACTACTATTTCATATCTTTATATTACACATGTAATATAATAAATGTATAATTGTCGCAAAATGGAACACGCCTTATATTTCTCTTAATTTATGTTTGCATGTTAACGCATATGTGTATGAAACTAATTAATACTTTCGGGAGATCAAGCAGTAAAAATGACAGGACTTAATGATTTTTGATTTCGACTCTTCACATTGCACTTTCATGTTATGCTATATTAACTTAGGCTGATTTGAATTTATTGGTTTCTTTTCCGTTGCTATCCCTGTAACATATGGTTTAATCGAAATAAGAGATGATGGAAGTTGGTTATACCATTGTATTTTTATTCCCTGTTCCTCATTAAAACCGATGCCAAAGTTCACACAGACCTCATAATAACGTGGTGTTGAAATGCCCCGGTGTTTTCCCTTCGAGTAAAAACGAGAAAGAAACCCTGCGCCTCGTGAATTATTTGACATTTTCCTCCCGTGATTGACATGTAAGGAATAAAACCGCGGAAGTCATTCTTTGCACTGCGACAGACCATCTTAGACTGCGCTATCCCCCAGTGCAACAATTTCGCGGTTCCTTTTTTCCTCAGATGATGAACTGACGAATCAGTTGGTAATAATTATTAATCATATAAAATCTCACTCGTTTCTTTGCTTCTCGCAGTCGTTCGTATCCATGGGAAAAAATAATCCCAAAAACAATTACGCTAATTTAGTTGTTCGTAAGTATGAGCGGAATTTCAATTGACAAAGTGTATTTTATAGCACGTAATAGCTTTTTAAACATGTGATTAAATGCTGCAACAGTATTTATAGAAATTGGATTCATGTGCAGTTAGTTATAAAACGATGCATTTTTGAGGAGAAGACAAGTTTCTCTCTGCTTTCTCAGTGAACATAAGAGACTACGGTAAAAGAATTCAGAAATAAGGAAACTGTCAGTGGAGTTTCATTCATTCATCTTCGTTTGTCCTGTGCTCGTTAACCTCATAAAATATCGGTACATTTTAAGACGCCGTATTTTTGTAGTCATCAAGTCTACTGTATGTATTTTAAAACTGGTAAAGAAATCTCCTACTTACTGGAGACTAAATATACCTAACTAGCTGGGTTGTTTGGAATCGTTGGTGTTTTTCTGAAATGGCTTACATACCTACGTCGAATTTGTCCTTTATTTGAAATACTACTCTCGGTCTTTAGAGGGAGATATTTCATTATTTCATTTTCGATGAAAACCATAGGAATGAACAGTTGAAGGGCTGAAAATTTTCCAAATCAAATACTGAGCCCCAAAACGTGCCACAAAATATAACGTAAGCTACGTCACACTGTAGTGTTTAGGCCTAATTTATATGAATATAAACGTTCCTTAAACGCATAAACCAAATCATCACTTGTACGCAGTCAAGTAAAGCATAGTTTTATCTAAAATAAAGAATTAGTCCACTTGGACTGAAATATTATTCTATGTGTTCATTTATAATATTTTTAAAATCGCAAGACAAAAAAAAACTTTAAATGACACTCGTATGTATTTTTAACTCTATAATAACCATGCCGTTTTAGAATAACATCTAGTATTATTTCACCTAGTTCTTGTGAGGCTTGACAAACCAAAATTGTTTTGTAAATTATTGTTGGAAATCATATAAATGTAAAATGATTTAATAAAAATTAAATATAGGCTACCGATTAGTAATTTACATTTTAGCACATGAACGCCTTAAAATCATATATTTAAAATTTTCGTGTTGTGTTAATCATAATGCATAAACGAGTATTCTTTATGTGTAAACGTCATTCCGTTAAAGTAAAATCAACACATTGTGTATGAAATTTAAGGCTGAAGTTCTGCAAATTTAGTTTGACAGTTTTGATTTACTGCTTTCTTTAACAAACGGGAATTATTTAGGCCTACTAATCAAAAGTATTCAGTTTTTGCATATATTTTCATTTTTTCGCAATAATCGGTTTATTAATATTCTTTGCCTTACATACTATGGCAGTATATATTGCGATATTTCCCAAGTATACTAAAAAAGAACCATATGGCCATACCATGTCACAATCGCATTGACTATTTAGTGGCGAATTTGTAAGGATGAAAAGAACATGTATTTAAAATGTATTTATTCAAATTGTGTTATTCAGCCTACAGCCTTTCGACTTACTTGGAATGGAAACATTGTTAAAAACAATCATAATTATATAACGTAATAATTTTATTTGTAAACATTTTTAGATATCTGAAATGTACATTTAAAATGTGCTTATTTCCAAAATAGTACGGCGTCACAGCTGATTTGTCAAAACAAAAGTTCAAAGGTTTCGAGCCAACCGTGATTATCTAGATTTTTCACTGTAAGCATGCAAAATGTAGCACTTGACAAGAGAATAATAAATATAAAAACTTTTATATTCAACAGCAACAGTACATACGACACATACAAACAAGGAATGTTGGACAAATATACAAACACCATGACCCTTTTACCTATATATATATATATAAACGAGTTACGTCGTCACACATTAACGCCGCCCCAGCACTACGAATCAGACTACATAGTGTCCTGGATATAACGAATAAAGACTTGACCTCGATAGCAAAGGGTCTGTATAAATCCTACAACATGCGTTCTGTTTTAAAATAATCTGTCTTCTGTAATCCTGACCAAAACACATATGCACAAAGTATAAAAGCTAAGCTTAATCTTGCAATTTACGATAAAACACTTCTTATAAACTGACGCGTTTGACGCATGGCGTTCATTCATTATATAGCCTACTTTTGTATAAACCGAATATATTACACTATAGCATGTCTATACAGTAAATATTTTACGTATAATAAAGTATGTGATTGCATGAAAATGTTCACTTTAGTTGACAACAGTCCCAGTGAAATGCAGTCTTCGTAAATACTTTTCCCCAAAGACTTACGTAACGCAGTAAATAAATCGGCGAATTGCACATTTTCCTTCCATTTTCCATTTTGGTGATATCATGCTTATTTTAACTGATCCATTACCAGAATGTAATGTTGTAAATGTTTGTCTGTTTACATTTCCATTCAGTAGTGCTGAGCTCAAATACTCCTAACACAGACGGGGACAGCCCGAAAATGTCACTTGCGCGATGTTCAGAAAGGTAATGTGTCTAGAAACAGCTTATCGATTATTGCCGGTGGTGGAACCAAGTCTTCAAGTTTCAAGTAGAAGATGCGTTGAAGGCCTTGCGTGCACAGCGTTCGAAGTTCAGGGAGTTTGCCCAGAAGTTTCGACAGGTAGCTGGGACGATTCACACTGCCACCATTAAATGTCACTTGTTCCTTCAGACAATTTACAATCTTGTTTTGAAGTTCTTCAACTCTCTTGGGCTCTTTCAGCCCATGTCTCTCTGTAATTACAATATGCATTTAAAAAGTATGAAAATTGGCATATTTGTTCAACAAGCGAATAGGCATGCCGAGAGAAAAGGGCGCTAAGGCGAGGATCAAACTACTACTATAATTATAAGCAGGTTTCTCTCACCTGTCACCATGGCCAGGGCTGCTACACAAGAGAATGCAGAAAGGTCGATGTTCATGCTCTGAAGGTTGGAGGAAAACTCCACTATCGAGTCTATCCATTCGCCAAATCCTCGGACACACTGGAGTCTGTGCAAAACCACCCCGTTGCAAAAAATTAGCTTCCCTTCCATTGGATTGGACCTGCAATTAATAGGGAACTGTTAATTACCTATCGAGTAATAAATGCTGGTTTAAATAGCAGCCTAGTTATTGGAGAGCAAATGAAACCTAAGTTAATGGAGCTTGAAGGGGGTTGATCTTTATTATGGTGGAAAGCCAGCTGATAACCGCGTACCTGTACGCTAGTCGCAAGACAAAGAGTTCCAGGAATGCTGACTCAAAAAGGAGGTCTTGGTCCTGCTTGGGGAGATCAGGGAATCCGGGGATCTTCTCCGCCCACCCTCGGATTATCTCCATGGAGCCCGTCAGGAGATCGTAGAACTGCTGAATGTGCCGCGTGTCATCTCCGCTTATTTGGTAGTCGAGATTTGCCTGAAACTGGAAATTAATTTTAAAAGTGCTTAACGAAGTCCACTAAAATATATAACCCGCGAATAAAGCTCGTTTCTAGCAGGGCAGACAAGTTTTTTAAAAAACAATTAAGGGCTCCCCCTGCTATTTTTGCGTTCAGTGTCACAAAGCAATTTATTAACTAAAGGCATGCTTAGAATTAAGACGCCGACATTTGAACATATATAATTTACATGACTTGTTATGAAGGGGATGGAATGGGTTTTTTTTGGTCTTCGTAATACTGAAATCAAACGGCAGGCGCACACAAAGCTGGTTACTTGACATTTCTTGTATTTCATCCTTTTAACGTAAATCTGCGTGACTGCGTTAGGTTTTGCGCTGCATAATTAGGCCTGCATGGTCGGTTTTGCCTTTTCGGGAATCTTACTTACTTTGGAGTAATCCAGCCCGGACATGGAGGGGTTCGAATCCACGTGAGCTCTTACCAGAGCACTAATAAGACTGACTTGCGGTAAAGGTGGCGATGGCTCTGGTGGAGGTTTCGGTTTGGAGGGCAGACGGCCTCTTCGCCCCTTAAGACTCGCCGTCCGAACGACTGAAAAATATGCACATATATATTGTATAAATAACCCTCATAAAATAACACAGAGAGACACATTATTCGACACCCATTTGCATTTGAAATCTGTGACAGTGAGCTGAATGTTTTTATACCTTACCTTCTTTTACCATTCCTACAACAAGGCACTTCTGGAAGCGACAATATTGGCATCTGTTTCTTCGGCGTTTGTCAACGGGGCAGTTTTTATTTGCCAGACACACGTATTTAGCATTTTTCTGAACAGTGCGCTGCAACCAAGACGAGACACTGCAGTTATTAAATGCGTAAAGACGTGCACGCGGGAAATTGTATTATATAAGAGGCATACAGGGAGAAAGGCCCACATCTGCGGCTTCACAGGACAATAATAAAAGAAAATTGATGGTGTTAACGCCACAGCGAGCCCTCCAGTTTATAGCCGTGTTTTATATGCAAGGAGACGGAGGAAGAGACGTTCAGTAAATACAAATCCGTGGGCATTCATATTTTACGTCCCTTGGAGACCCTCTCCACTTTAAGGGAAAGGATTATTCAATCAGAACACGGAAATAAAGGCACCACTTAATTTTACTACTGGGAGTTCTGTTCCGCTTGGTTAGACGAACACGATTCTGCGCCCAAACCGATTAATTCCTGCCGAAATGTTGCAGACAGGGTAGCAAGGGGAACTCGCAAACAAATAAAAATTAAAGTCGAACCACACAAACATATCAGTTTAATCTCCATGATATTTCTGAAGGATACGGTGTTCAGTAACACTTCAATAACACAGCAGTAACAACTGTATCCGACTTTGGACAGAATAAAGAGACCTTGCATTTATGCTTAATTCACTTAGTGTCTACCGCATATATTTGCGGCTAGTAAAAAAAACAGCGCAGGGAGTACAAGCCCACCTTAAAAAACCCTTTGCAGCCTTCACAAGTGCGCACTCCATAATGCTGACAAGCGGCGTTGTCCCCACAAACAGCGCAGAGACCCTCGTTGGACGGTGATCCCCTGGGCGGCGGCGAAGGCATCTGCCTGTCCATCAAATGGTGCCCATGGCCGAGTTGAATAGAATGAGGGAAGCCCAGACCAGCCTGTTTCCTGATAGTGCCGGGAACAGCAAAGTTTTGGCTCTCTAAGGCACGGTGAGCCATTGAAGCGTCGGGGCTCACAGACAGGTGAAGGGGACCGTCGAATCTCATCTGGCAGCTCGGTACCGGGGTTCCGGGCGGAGACTGTTTGAAGGAGAACAGGGAAAGACGCGACACCGGGGTCTTGCGCTGATCTATCATGTGGGTAGTCGCCACATAATTCTGGTGGAAACCGTGAAGGGAGGGAGAATCGTCCCACAAGTGGTTCGCCTGAACCTGAAAGTTTGGCGTCGTTGGAGTGTGGGGCGAAGAAGGCTTGTAGAACAGCGATCCCGAATGAGGCATCACATCCTCCGAGTGCGACGGCAGGTGATTCTGCTGGTGGTAACCGTGCATCTGAATATCTTCCACTTTAATGGACGACTGCTCCCCGGAATGCGGCATTTGGTACAGACAAGGGGGCTTGACGTCGTACCCAGCGTTGTAGTTATCCATGAAGGTGCTGAAACTGGGAAGAGACGTCGTAGCCGCGATTTCAGTGTTAGTCAGGTCCATACTAAACTTGACGAATTCAGGCGTCAGAAAGTCGCAGTTATATTCTCCAGCGGTGTGGTAGCTGTAGTTTTGGGAAGCGGGACTTGCTCCTTGAGGTGATGACCCATATTGTGCCTGAACGCAGGGCATGTCTGTGGAAAAATAAAAACGTAAAATTGTTACCAAATATATACATTTATAGCTATTGATTAGCCAAAGCAGATTCATTCAAAGCCTTGCCGAGGAGCCACCATGCGACGTATAACGTGGACAGGATGTCAGTTCATTACTGGGTTCAAATATATAAACAAACGCAATCACATGCTTAGACGATTAAAATACAGCAACGGGCCCAAATGGCAGATGTTTGGACTGTAGGGGAAACTGGGATGAACTGACAAAACCCTCGCGATCAAGAAAAGGACAAGCAAGGTCCTGTCACAGAAAAAAAAATGACTCTTAAACCTGTCAATCGGTATACTTCACATTGTAATATTTAACCAACAAACAAATGGTCTGACTATCGGACACACAAACATAATGTCAAAGAAGCATCTGTACCTTCAGGCGAATGACTGCTGTTCGATGACACTAGGAAGTGGACAATGTTAGATGTCGTCTGTGCTATTTGAGTCAAATTTCAAGGTAGCACAGGTTTCCTTCGGTGCTAGAATAAAAGAGAACACATTTAATTCACGTCTTGAATTCCACCACCGCTGCACGCACTGTGAAATGGTCGGTCGAGATTCGCTTCCACCAGTAGAAAAGATTTTCCAAAGAAGGCGCAATTTCTCGTGTTTGTTGTTTACAGTCCATACCCATTATTCAAACAGCTGCTGTTAATATACCAAAAGAGTGTGCATAAAACTCTTCTACCTCTGAAAAGTAGCCAGCAATAACCTTAAAACAATAAGAAAAAGTTTGTGTGCCGAAACATCAACAGGTAGATAAACATGTTCTTTAACATCTTTGGCAAGTATCCTTAACAGGAATCGCAATAGATGTATTTCAATGGTGTTAGCGAATTCTAACATAAATAACTGTAGTATAATATGCTTACATGTACTTTCAAAGTTGCAAAACAGACATATCTTTTCCAGCAATACTTGACAGCTAATAAAAAAATAGAACCATGAGCCAATGCCAACGTGAAACGTACGTTTAATGAGTAAGTGATGCTGAAAAACTGCGGATTCAAGCAGAAAAACATTAATAAAATTAATTCCACCACTACCTTATATTTTCATTAGGAGAATGGTTGTTGCTTATCCATAAAGGTTAGCTTGTGTTCTTGGATCTCCAGCTCATGCGCAGATAAAGCCCCAAACCAACAGCGAATGTAATAAGTCACAGAGTAAGAACGGCTTTCGCACAGCTCTGTCCGCGACGTGAGCAGGCACTAAGCTCTCCTGCCAATGTGCCTTTGTTTATGTGAGCTCCGGCTACCCCAGCCCATGTGTGTAAATGTAAACGTCATCTGCGTCGTCACTTACTGGCACCAATCTCTTTAATAGCGGAGTCAGTTCGTTTTCGCTTTGCACTGGAAGAGAACGCTATATGGTCAGGTAAAAGCTCTATCTACAGCTACAAATGCGTACCTGCACGAACAATAGACCAGTGAAGAAAAATTAAATGAAACCGATGCTTTTGAAATGGTACATGTGTAAACCCGGGCTATATCGATTTTATTACACGTTCAGTTTCTTACAGGGGTGATGTAAAGATTATACGAAGTTATACGAAGAACTTTAAGTGATGCGATTTTCAGTAGTCTGTCTGTCTATCAATCAATCACATAAATTGGAACAGAACAGCATAGACTTTTCATTTGGGTAGGATCACTAATAAACCGATCGTTGAAGTGTTCCAGTTGTCCAAGCATAATTCATGGTACGTCATCCTTCTACAAAATAAGTCACACGTTTCCCTATTTAGCTTTCTTAGACAGGTGGGTGTGTCCTCACCCTACTTACGTGACTGCCATCGTTTTCCCAGGCGCTTGTGTTTTCATAGTTGACAAGTTTAGATAGAGGGTGGGGGTCGTTAACTGCGGAGCAGCGGCGATTGTAGCGGAGGAACCTCGAGGGAAATCGGCGGAGCGCAGAATGGTCCGTGACGCAAAGGAGTCCGGCAATGACGAGACGCCCCAAAATAACCACGCCAGGCCTTTTCTTCTCCTCGGTTATTATTACACTACAAAGTGATCTTAAAAGTGATCGGTTTGCGCCTGTTATTTAATAGCTTATGAAAAACACAAAGAAATATATGGGGTTATTTTTAAGCCGATGCTTTTGGCACAATAGCTTAATGCCAGCCTTGATTAAAAAAGTTATCGCGGTCCATTGTGGGTGCAGAGTTGACCTACTGCTGCGCTTAGAAAAGTTATCAGAAAATTTAATTAAGTAACTTTCTGTTTTCTTTCATTTTATCTTCTGGGGTTATATGCTAGAATCAAGAGAATAGTATGTCTAGTTTTGTGGTGCTACTTTTCCATATCTCTACAGCAGTGTAACTTGGAGAAAGCTAAATAGTCGTGGACAATACAGATTTTAGGAAGGTGGGAAAGATATCAATAGCTCACAACAATATTAAAATGGCAGAATGTAATAGTAGACTTAGAAGACTTGTAAGTGTAATCGAGTAAATTCTTACAGGAAGCAACAGCATCCACTGAAGCAGTAAAAAGACAACAATACTAACATGGAGTAATTGCTAATTTCAACAAATATTAGTACTTAGGGATTTCTCTAGAGCGTGGGTCACCAACCATTTTGAAACTGAGAGCTACTTCACAGGTACTGAGCCATACGAAGGGCTACCAGTTTGAAACGCCCTCCTAAACTTATCTAAACCTCATGTACAGTATAATAAACATGTTTTAAAATGGGGGTTTAGCTGACCTGGGCTCAGTGGTTTATCATCATGACCTTGGCGCGATGCCAGATGTTCATCAGCAGAGGATTTCCCTGATGCTGAGGGATGTTCTGTGGGGCGAGATGTTTGCTAATGGGAGGCGGACAAGGCAGCTGGGGGGGGGGGTACTCTGCAGGGTGAGATGTGTGCTAATGGGAGGTGGACAGGGCAGCTGGGGCATGCTTACAAAAATCACCAAAAAAGTTTAATCTCCATTTTTTTTTTTTAATGAACCCACCAGGGACAAGCAACCAGCATGTAAAAGGGGTGCATGCTCATAGTGGCATATTAGCATATGGCTAAACTCTCTCTCTCTCTCTCTCTCTTTTTCATGCACCCATACAAAATCAGCAAAGGAATTACCAGTACAACAGGTCTGTAGCAGTAAAGACTTCACTGCCTAATTGACTCCAGCAACATGTCTGTCACAACTTATGCAATTAATAACAATTTTGCAGTGTATTATGATGACTGCTTTAATATTTTCATGCACCAAACCTGGAAATTATCCAAGGGACTCACGGTAAATGTGTTTTCCACAATCAAATATTAAACTATTACACTGATGTATACTAAGGGAATATGTACACATATTTCACATTTCCTGGATTTTCATTTTTTTAATATATATTAAAACAGTTACTTCCATCATCTTTCAGTATATGATCTCACTCTAAATATAAAGGTTTATTGTTAAACCAAAATGCATATAAATGGGTTCAATGTAGTTTTATTCTTGGCAACTGTTTTGAACTGCAATCAGCTATACAACACTATTTATATAAAATAACTTTAAAATTGTACTGTCCATTTACCAATTTCAATTAGCAGTAATACAATTAGGGAAGTTAATTGTCCATAGCAGTATTGTGTTGCTAAGCATTTTATCTATATGCATAGCTTAATTACTTCATTACTTCACAATCATTAAAAAGGAAATGTAGGTGATCGACTACAGGCATATAAGCGGTAAGTTATTTCCTAAGAATAGTAATATCCAAAGAGCCAGACCTCTTTACAGCATACATGCAGTAGTTTATGAATCCTCATAGTCCACCAACAGTATACTTATTGCTTTATTCAGTGTGTACTGTATTTTCTCAATGTCCATCCCCAACATTTCCATAGTGTAAATGCACAAAATTGCAGTTCATGCAAAACAATATACGGATTATCATTTATGCTATCTTTAAACTATACTTTTAAACATAAAAAAACGACTTGTAATTCCCCAATATTCACATTAAATGAGCATTTGAATTGCACAATTAAGTCAGTAAATTACATAATTATATCAGTAAATTAGACTGATGAAATGATGTCCATTTCTAGGCCAAGACAGGCATAGGTTGGTTTCTCCAGTCATACTGGTTTGCACAGGAACAAGCAAAAGGGACTCTTACTGAATCCCAGAGCCACTTAATGGAATATCTCAAATTATTTCACATTGCATATGTTTGCTGAACTAAACAGGATAACTAAGACATATAGTCTCATGGCTTGTGAGAAAACTTTACAAAACATACTCGCTTGTCCCAGTGTCTGCAGAATGACATAAGTGTTGGTCCCCTGAGCCCCTCAGTTCCCAGCGGGTCACCCTGACCCCTAAGTTCCCAGCGGGTCGCCCTGACCCCTAAGTTCTACACCATGTTGCTGTCAGTATAATGTACACTATATGCTACTAAAAGTACATACACTTGCATTTAATGGTGTTTTTTTGTGTCCTAATTAAATACCAACCTTCAGAGAGAATCTGAACAGTAGAACTGCATGCATCTATCAGGTGTTTTATTCAGAGAAGAATCTCATTAACTCATGAACGGTTTATATTTGGCAGGAAGTTGATCGAGGCCAGCAGGAGCTATGGTGAGCTATGGTGAGCTATGCTATGCAGAGAGTAGTGTACGACTGGAAATGGGAAATGGGTCTGTGATTGGACCAGCCTACAGAGCTGGATTACCAAATTACATTTTGAGAGGGGCCATTTCTTGCCCAAAATTAATTCAGTCCCTGAATTATTTTAAGTAATCTCACCTGGCACTTTGGATGTTAAACGGGTGCCGATTAGGGATAATAATTTAAGGTTGGATGGAGCTTCATCTTGATAGTAATGCACGGTGCCTTCTTTAGCTGCAGAAATGATTTTTTTTTTTAGTTGTAAAGATAGGCCTACTTTAACGCACTGATTTTTTACATACACCTACTGTAATTTAACAAATTTAATTGTTATGCCCTCTACCGTCTACTATAATGTAGTAAATATGTGAATTATCTGCTTTAAGACTGGTTATTGTGTTCATTGGATATGTTGCCTCTTAATAGTTATAAATACTCAACGTAAAGTTAGTTTTTCATTTATAACGAAGTGATTAGTAGAGCTAAATTTCCATAAACTAGTGACTGATGAAACCATAAACGTTTGCAACTGCATTGTGTAGATCGCTTATAAATAGATAGGTAACGTAGTAAAGTTACGTTCTACAAAGGAAAAAATAATATTAAAGTAAATGCTGTTTGTTTTTAAAGGTCGATGGATAAAATTGTTTATGAGCACGGTTAACTAAAGCATCTAACTAGATCAGCGCCTTCACCGCAGCCGCTAGCCCGCGGCTGGACCACATTCCTGTTTCGTAAGACGAGCCGGCTGCCTTCGCATCACGTGACTCCACTTCCGTATTCCCCGCTGCTAGTCCCGTTGTAATCTGAGTGCATTTCAAGCATTAATGGGAAGTGGCAAAACTACGGCGCTAAACGAGAAAAATAAAAGCTGTAAGTCAGTATGTATAACTACTTTGAAATGTAATTTGCAGTGGATGTCGGCGAATTTCACTTTTAAAATGAGTACATTTTAAACAAGAAAAATGCATCCATCGCGGAAACTGTACGTTACTGGTTACCTAACTTTGGCGTGTCTTGAGCGTGGAGTACCCATGCGTATGCGTGTGTGATCAACTAATCGTCTATTCCTAAATGATCGTACGAATTAAGTGCATGTAGCCCGACTTTACTGGGTTATGTCAAGTGTAGTAAATGGTGGAAGTCGCAATTATATCGTGCATATCTGTCTATGCACGTTCTGATACACTGAAATATTTCATGAAAAACTTAATTCAGTTTCTCTTTCTTGAAGAAATTGTGATATTTACTAATAACGGATATTGAAAGTAGGCAAACTTCTAATACTCTTATACATGCTTTGTACAGTTTGTGAGCGTAGATGGTGCTTCCTGGTGGGGCAGAGGTTTGCCCGATTGCAAAAAGAGGTTCTTGGTGCTGGAGGGTGTGAAGCAAGCGGGGTCGGGAGTGGCCCCTCCGGACATACAAAAGCATTTTAAGTCCAGTCTGGTAAAACATTATTGTGATCTCAGCCGTGTAACCTACTGTACACCGTGAAACGAAACAACGTTCCTCACGAACCCGCGGTGCAACATTCATGCCGTGCATAAAGGCGTCCTAAGGCGATGCCAATCAACGCTAAGGATTGCTCATAAAAATGCGCTTCTGCTACATTTCTTTTGCTGTCTCGGAGGATATTCGCGCATAGTGGGGGGGAACTGCGTAGTTTATTACACGGGGGTTTATGAACGGACAGTAACCTGGATGGCTGTCAAATATCGTACTTGAGAACGCTAAAACATCAAGCAAATTCAAATTGTCATCTCCTGTGCAAAACAACCTTTTAACAAAAGGGAATAATGTCACCAGTTCAAATGATTTTTGGACATATAAAAATCGCAGCTGCAGCGGAATTATTATCGTGCCCAGTTAATTTGGAAAACCTTAATTATAGTCTCTCCTCAAAGGCATTGCCCCTTCTTTCCATCTATAGAGCCCTGCTTCCAAGCTTAAAATATCAGCGTACCAGTGTCACTTTAACGGCTGCACTTCAGAGGCTGAGCGCAGTTCATCATTTTAACACACCTTCACGTATTGCGCTGTTAGGGAGGAATAACTAGCATGTCTGGAATAGGAAGAGGAGGGTGTTACACTGAAGAGGAACCATCTCCGTCCAAAAAACGGGGATGCGAGTCGCGTCCACGTCCACGGCCACGCGCACGTCAATCGCTCATGAATATTCATGAACTGTAGTAATGCAACGCAGGCCGTAATTGGTGCAGGCGTTAGTAATAACTCAGTAGGTTTCTTATCTGGAAAAATATCTGAACTTTTCTGTATATAATCCAGTAGGTTTACAGTTTGTAAATGAACCAAGTCAAACTCGTGAAGGTGGTGACTGAGCAGGGGGAGCTTTTCGATTAATAGGCCTACTGGTCAAGTCCACCATTGGGATAATTTATATAATATTAGGGCATATTAAAATAAATTTATTACCATGGAAATTAGCCAAAGTAGTCTAAGTTGTTTTATTATAATAATTGACATAGCAGAATTAATCGATTTCACAAATTCATTCTCCACACTGTTGTTATTGGTTTGAAGCACGGCAATCATTCTGTCGGTTTGGAAATAAAATAGAGCTGTCTTAATGATTTGTTATTGTAGGGTTTGTTTTGAGTCTGTTTGCGGAGATTCCATGGGGATTGTGGTCAAACTGTCCCCGGATGATAACGGTACTAGGTCTTCTTAAGTTCACCCGGCATGCGAATTTATATTGCTGTAATGTTGTCCCAGTGTTCCATTGTGAGATTTTTCTCAGAGTGTTTTATGCTCTCAGGCATGTGTGCTGTTCTGTGATTGGCTGTGCCTACAAACACAGCTTGGGGAGGAGGGGCGGTGAGCAGGGCGGGGCTTCTCTCAGGTGAGAAACCAGGCCAGGTGAGGTGAATGCTTTCCCTTCTATGGAGATTAGAGGGCAGCACTTTGTCACTGTGCTACACGGGTCTGGCCAAGGCACAAGGTGAAAGTCGGTAACATTTTCACGACAGGAGTGGCAGCTGCACTGCCTCATGTCACTTCCTGTCCCGTTCATTGTTCTGGCTACACAATTACAGGAACATTTACCAGCACCTCAGAATCACTGTACATTAGACATGAGTCGATACTGAAATTCTAACTTCAGTACTCATACCAACTTTGATACCTCAGTATCTATATCAAATCCATACTGTAAAACATTCCCATTTAAATATATTACTTTGAAATAAACAGGCCTATTTATCAAGTAATAGCTGATAATATAGTTTTAACATTATCAGAGAAATGTGCATAGATTAATTAACCTCCATTGACGTAATAGATTTTGGTATTAATGTGTTTTAAGCTGTTACTAAACTTCATTGATATTATACTAACATTTACATTTTATATTTGTGTTTGTTCTGGTCATCATTTAGCCTAATGTACTGAAGAAAGGGATATGAATGAACTGGCATGTGGGCTAAACTTGACTGTAAACAGAAACATGAAACATAATGAGTCCTAAATCACGTCATTATAGGCACTATAGTCTTGTATCTTTTATTATGCATGACCTTTAACCTCCATATGTAAATCATGGCAGGTTAGGCATGACGTCCCCTTATAGCAGCGTTTGCGTACTGGGGCTTTCGGCTCTGCAGATTCATCCCAATTGTTCGGTTTAAATCCAAAATAACACAATATCTCACTTCTGCCACCTGCTTTTTAACTAGAGGTGAACAGTGTGGTTCCCATCTTCCGTCTGTGCAGATTCTCCGCACAAGGGACACATGAATAGAGTGCAACTGTGTCTGCCCCCAGAGCGCAGATTCACACGTCCACTACGTAGCTAACTTGCATAACTGTTTTTTGATATGCGCAATAACGATGAACAGCACATTTTCATCAAATATAGATATTTGCAGAATGATAATAATTGTCCCAGTTTTAAACTGTTGTATCACGATAAGAGACGATACTGGCATATGGAGTAATGCATCGTTGCCGTACATGCACAGAAAAATGCAGACATAACCAGAGCCTCAAACCTCCAGGGTTGCTGGTTTGATTCCCCACTTTGGCTGTGGAGCCTGCATGTTCTTCCACGTTGCATGTTTCTTCTGTGTAATCCCACAGAATGAGCTGCAGCACTGTTTTCCAGTCTGGTCCTCAAGAACCCACAGGCGGTCCATGTGGTTCCCCATGTGGACTGTCTGACAGGGAGCCCTGAGAGAGCAAAAACATGGACCGACTGTGGCTCCCCGAGAACCGGACTGGGAAACGCCAAGCTGCACACCTCCATCCGGTCCCTCACAACCTCACAACATCTTCACTTCTGAGAACATCTCTGCTTGCCTACCTGTATCACTGACCCTTACTGGTTACTGTTGTTGACTTCCATTTTGAAATGGTTAGCTTGGCACTGCTATATGAACTTCTTTCCTTTGGTATATTGCATTTAGACTTTGTTTCTTCCTAGTTCTCTCTTTGGTCACTCCAGTGAGTAATGCATAGAGGCGCCCAGTTGCAGGATGGGCAGCCCCTCACTGCGGGGCCCAAAGAGCCCAAACTGTGTGTGACTTGGTTCCAACTGGTTCAGAACTTTCTTGTGTACAGAAATTCTCATGTCACTCCTGGTGACGGCTGCTTAGTGACAGTTTTAAATGAGTGTATGCCATACGATGGATTTTCAACATCTTACCTTGTGGCTTTTGCTACCTGGAATAGGTTCTTGTGCTGGATAATCATTTATAAAATTCTGCATGTATGATTCAGAACATGCTGTCTGTCAGGAAAGGTGGATTTTTAATATATAACTATGTATAACTGCATTGTATTATCTGCACCCAGGAAACTGGTTCTCGCTGTTCCTTCATCAGAAGAGCGGTTCCCTCTTTTCTCCGCAGGAGAAGACATGGCCTTCCGAAAGGCAGTGCGGCGGACAGCCCTCATCGGGGGTGGGGTCCTGACTGCCGCCTTCAGCTTGTCACAGCTGTCACAGTACAGGAGGAAGCAGGTGAGCGGCTGAAATGTCAGCGCGTCCGCCATCGCGGAATTTCACTGTGTAATTATTACGCGGCGAGGGCAGCGCGGGGCACGTGTCAGCGAGTTCAGTGAAGACAGATGGGGAGAGAAAAGGTTAAGGTTTTTGCTGTGTTTTTAGACCCCAGCGTGTTGTCGCACACCCCCAACGCTGTTTCTGTCACAGATACGACTCCTATTCCAACACTGTAATGCCACAGAAGAACATACTCTGTATCGTACTGCACATCTCGTGCACTACAGCAGTTTATTATCTTTTTTATAAGTGTTTTTTCTGCTTCTGCTATATTGTGAGGTTTATGCTCATATATATTGTCCTGTCTGCTTGACTACCCAGTTGTGTCCAATAGAGAATACATGTTACAGTCAAACGTTCGGTTGGATTCACAAAAGCGATGCCCCGAGTTTTCGCTTTTCTAGCTATGATGGTGTTGTGAGTTGAGTTATTGGCTGTACGACTGTCCCTCAACCATCTGAATTTACCTGCCTCCTCTAGTCATGAGAGTTAGATAGATAAAAGTAATTAAAAAAAACAAACACCCATCTACATTTGGTGCTGGCAAAGAGAGCAGATTTGTGCTGAGCTGGTTCTCCGCCCAGTGGATCCTCCCAAAGAGTCGGCCATTTTGCATTAAATCCTACCCCTGCGACACACCCTGGCATGTGAGCACCTTGCTGGCCGGGTGCCTGCCGTGTGTGCCCTCCTGATCTGGTCATGACTTTGGAATGCACTTAGACTGGAAAATATTACGTTGTTTTTACCTTCACCTGTAATTTTCTGTGCATGACAACCATACTGCCTAAAGGCCACAGGAGATCTTTGTGTTTATGTGAAATAAGAAATAAGCTGCTCTTAAATCCCACTCTCAGCGCTCTCCTTGTACCGTAAGCTCCAGGAAAGCACCTGAAATCACCATGAGAACCGCACGCAGCCTCAGAGTAACACAGCGGCCATTAAGCACCCAGTTTGTTTATCTCTGTCCTCAAAGAAAATGGCCATTACGTTAGGCGCAGTCAGAAGATGAAGAACGGCCGGTCTGATGAGTTTATTGTTTTGGCAGCTGTTAGAAAAATGGTTAAGGATACCTACTTGTCAGGTCAAGTGCGAAACGTTGGTGGGCCTGTTCTGCCTGGGCATCCACCAATAAGAGTGCGTCAGCTGGCCTCTTCCTGTTCACTCAGCCAATCACAGGGGTCTTGTCTCAGCCTCCTGGCATGTCAGTGGCCCCTCAATAAGCATCTCACGCTGTCAGTGCATGTCTGCCTGACAGAAAAACAGTCCCTTGAAAAACACCCAGACATGCGTGCACCGGATAGTTAGTGTGGAATTCACAGTTCCCTAATTCACTGAGTGTATTGCCACAGTTTAATTATCAATTTACGCTGAACATTTAAGCTGAACTTTATGCTTGTATTGCATTTCTACATGCCATGGAAACAATTTTCCCCATAACTCCTTAAATTAACATTAAAAATGTAAGGCTAGAATGTCTCTATCTGTCTGTCTCCCTCTCTCTCTCTCTCTCTCTCTCTCTCTCTCTCTTTCACTCTCTTTTTAAACATTAGGGTCAACAAGATGGATCTGATCAAGTGGACTAATAAGGAGCAGTCTTTCACAAATGAAAACCACAGAAGATTAATAGATTTCCCATTTCTGTAGTTTATTCAGATCCATTGAAAGCCATTTTCTCTATAATAATAATAATAATAATAATAATAATAATAATAATAATAATGCTTCATTAGAATCAGTACTTGAAAGAAACCCCCAGAATGGATGTATAATAGCATGTTGGAATACGGTTACTATGGCGATATTTTGTTTGATCTTCTACTCAATTAAGCAGAAAGGCAGCCCAAAAGGACAAACCGAAAAATGCCCAAACACTTTTAAAGACATGCATTATACAGATAAAACTGGGGGCACATAGACCATCCTGTATAGACAAAAAAACATCATTTGTTTTAGCATACAAAGAAGCACAATGGTGAAAATACTTCACTAATGACTAATAATATAAAAATTCTCCTTAAACCTGTTTTATATTTCAAAATGATCTAAATAATAAAAAAGTTGGTCTCGCTTGAAAATCCTGTTTTGTGCATGTTGTATAATTACAGCTAATAGGGCTTCGTCGCTCATACCTTGAGACCCCACTGTCCAGAGCTGACCTTTCAGAAAGAAAAAGGGGCTTTGTATTAATGTCAGTCTTTGTTTTCCTTTCTCTTCCTGTTTGTTTTGTTTATTATTTTATCAATGCATCATCTGGCCGAAGCTTAAGCTGGTAAGCAGCGTCTCCAGTAAATTAATGGCAGCCATGCATGCAGCACATAAGCGTTTAACTTTGCAGGATCGCCGGCATCGCTAACATTGCAGTATCAGCTGCATGTCTGTTCGTCTGTCACAGCACGTCGGACACACGGGGAATGCCTTACCGGATGCCTGACATTGGCCGTAACAGTCTTACATTCTTGTTAACCTGATTACCAGGCCGGCCTTGGTCCCAGTTGCCCGCAGTTTAAATTTGCACATCCTTAGAAACAGACACTAATTATTAAATCTTGTTTGCGACTACAGTCTAAATTGCTAATAGGTTCCATTCATAAATTTGCAAGTCTAATGGAGTACCAGCTTGGAGAAGATGCGGGGGGCGGGTGGTGGGGGGATCATTCAGACTGAATGTTAAATACTAGATGATTTCATTATTGTTGACATTTTAACAGGTTTCTCCCATGTCCTCTAATTGGCATAGAATCCTCCCTTTGTATCTGGGCTGTAACAGACTCATCCTTCATTTACCTGTCATGCCAGTTTATGCACTTATTTTCTTAAGCAATTTGTTAATTGATGTACAGGGTTGTAAGGGCTATTGCCGGTCATTTTTTATGGGGTGGCTCTTAAGATCAGTGTCCCTCATCCCGTGTTTATTTTCATTTTGTTAAAAAGCAAAATCCAACAGTCTGTTTCGTTCATTTACGGTATTTATCTGATATGCGGCGGTATTTCCCGGGTTGCACAATAGCACCGCGTCTTGCTCTGTAGGTGTGAATTAAAGCTGTGTGTGTCAGTTTGACACAGTCATTATGCGGCGTAACTGTGCAGATGATCATTCTGGATAAACAAGCATGCAGCATGAAAAGCACTGCATGATGGGTGTATAATGAATTAGCATGTAATTTATATTTGTGTTTATTTGGGTGGTTGGGTCATTTTATTACCCCACAGATAATGCATGATTTTGGTTTTTTTTTTATCTGTCCAGCGAAATATGGAGAGTTCTGGAATGACATTTTTTTTTTCGTCCCTTGGAGTCGTATGTTAATGACCTCGGGGGCGGTCTTGTCTACTCTAATGGCCCAGGATCGACTGGCACGCGTTCAGGCTGCGGAGCAGGTAGACCTGCCCTCCCTGGATGAGCTGCCGTCCCGCGCGGCTCAGCTGGCAGCGCTGCAGAACACCGAGGAGTTCGACGTCCTTGTCGTCGGGGGAGGGGCCACCGGCTCGGGCTGCGCCTTGGACGCTGTCACGCGGAGTAAGCTTGCCGCCGGCGTTGGCTGAGCTCCTCGGTTACTCTACCCGACACGCCTTTGACCTTGAGCTTGGCTTGTTCTCCTTGGCCTGTACCTGGTCTATGGTTTTGTCGAGAGAACATTTGTCCTCAGTACATCTTCATTTCTGCTTAACTGCCCCGCCTGTACCTTTTGCTTGTCTTGATGTTTTTTTGCTTGGGGTACGACACAGTTGGTGCAGGCTCAAAACATTCTGGTTATCAAGGAAAATTACCTGGCCACTTCTGACACTATGTTCTGTCCTGTTTGCCATATTTTGTGGCATTAAATGACATGAAATTAATACATCCTATAAAATTGGCACAGAAGTTCTGCTTTGGAAGGTCTATTTCCATGTTATTTGTCTTGTTTTGAGTTTGATTTGTTTTTTTTTGTGGGAAAAATACTTCAGAACTGCTCTGTAGTTTCATACACTTATAATGTTTTCTTATAACATATTTGTTCCCAAGTCTTGCATATATAATGTAAATCATAAGCTTCCTGTGTGTCTGTTTCATATGAGTCTGGGAAAGTCTAGAACAGGGGAACTGCTTGGGAACTGCGATATTTTTGAGATATTGCCTTTGCTGGAGTTTTGTCTTTTGTTGCGCAGATAATCACTCTTTTCTTAAAAGACAGCATGAGGTCCCTCAATGCATTATTCATGCCTTTATGCCTGATGTTATGGGAGTCAGGGATCCATAATAGGGCCAATCGCTGCCGCGTGCAGTGAGGCCCCCAAACATCAGCCTGTTGCTGATCCGTCGGCCTGATTGCCCCCCCCCCCCATCCCCCCCAGATCTTAAAACGGCCCTGGTGGAGCGCAGCGATTTCTCATCCGGGACCAGCAGCCGCAGCACCAAGCTTATCCATGGGGGCGTCAGGTACCTCCAGAAAGCCATCATGAAACTCGATTACGAACAGGTAAATGCACCATTTTTCCTGTGTGGCTGACACTGATGCGTGGAATTCCTGCTCCGTCTGGTCATATTGCTTTATTTTCTCCCTGCTCTCATTTTTCTTCCAAAGAAGGTCTTGCCTCCGTCACTACCACCCACACACACACACACACACACACACACCCTCAGGATGTATCTCAGGGATTTTTTCCCCATAGTGCTTCTCAAGGATTTTCACAAGTTGTTGGAAGTTCTGTGACTTGCAGGTAGAGGGGGGCTTCCGTGTCAGAAGACAGGGTGTGGAGATGAATCTGGAGAATTACGGTTTAACGCCGCATGCATCAAGTCCATCCTTCTTTTTGTCTGCATATTGCTAAGGAAACCAAATGGGCTTTTCTTTGCAACCTGCAGCTTAAAATGTCACAATTTTCTGTTATATTTCACCGTTCCTGGGGCATCTCATTACTGTAGCCCCCTGTTTTTCACGGCCTGTTTCCTCCAGCTATGTGGACACTGTCTGGCTCTTAAAGGTGAGATGCAGGGGAGGCCAATTACTGTATTTGCAGAACGTTGGGCTGCATTGTCAGCAGCTTCGCAGTAAAGTATGAGCTTTTGGGGCAGAACAAGCGAACATGTGACATGATTAACCAATAGGATCACGCTGCAGGTAGTAGACAATTGGAAGTTCTTGAGGGCCAAGCTTGTTATGTTAGATAGCTCCAGAATTTGCTGTTCGTAGAATGATGCACAATTTGAAATATCAGTTCTTCAGGTAATGAAGTTCAGTGGTTAGGAGAAGGAAACAATTGCTCTTTGAGGACAGCTATTACTTTCTATGGAGGCCTTTGAGTTGCTGGGTCAGCTAGCAGGCCTTCTTTGAGCAAATGAGAGGCCTAAAGCCCCCAACACAGCGTGGGCCTGGGCCACACTATTGGCTGATTGTGTCCAGCAGCCCCTAGCTGTGGAGGAAACTGGCTTTGTCACCGAGGGAGGGAATCAGACTTTGTTAAGTCTGTCCCTCCTCTAATCAGCACTCAGCCAGACTGTCGTGTGTCTGTATGGAAGGTTACCATGTAATTCATGTCAGGGACGACACTTTGAGTGACTTTAGGTTTTACAAACTACGTTAAAACTTAACACGCTCCTGTACTTGGCTAAACAGTTCAGTTCTTCTTGTGCCTTCGCTGGTTTGTTTCCTTGATTGAAAGACTCATCTAGCTGTTTCACATTAGCTTTAGTGCCACGTGCATGATTATTGGAGACTGACCAATCAACACACAGCAAGAACTCAGTGCTTGCCTCAAGTGGAATTCTTGGGTGCATTTCCCGAAAGTATATTTGCTAACTAAGTTTATGTAATTGGACTATGCAACTGAAAAGTTCCAACTATGATAGCTGCTTCTGGGAGCTTCTGGGAAACATACCCGAGGTCCTTTTGATTGAAATAGTAGTTTACAAATCCTGTCCTAGCTGAAAGTGCCCTCCACAACATGGAGTAGGTGGTAACCAAGGCATGAATCAAATGATGACTGTGGCAATAAATAAAGAACTCCTGATAACCGAACATCTAAGCAATCAAATTATAGAATATTAAAGGAATAACAGAAGCTGCTGTTGAATCACTACACTCTCACAACAATTATCATCTAAGTAACAGAATATTTGAAAATGCAGAGTGCTTCATTTTATGGGTCTCTGTGTCACCAAACTCTGTTGGTATTTTTTTTGACCAATCAGTATCAAGCTGTTATTTCTGAAATTCCACAAAACCTGTTGAATATCTGTGTGGCCTCTAAATGAGCTTTTCGGGGTAATCCTGCCTGCCGTCGTGTGTGTGGTGGGTAGCTGATGTAGTGCAGTTTGCACAGATGTCATCTGTAGGCTGTGGGTTGTACCCTTTAATGAAGGATGATTTGAAGATTGACTCCACCATAGTCATTATTTAGGGCTGAGATACTTGGTGCAAATGTCAGGGAGAGATATAGCTGTACAGTGAACATCTTTGGATGTAAGAAATTATCAAGAGAAGTGCCAGCATGGTGGGATCTGGCCTAAGGGCTGAGGTACTGATTGCAGTGGTTTTCCAGATGCTGCTAAGATGCAATCCAGCCATGAAACACCTCCTCACTTTTAACAGGCATCAATCATGTTTCCCATTTGTCTTCCAGTACCTGATGGTGAAGGAGGCCCTCCACGAACGTGCCAACCTACTGGAGATAGCTCCCCACTTGTCTGCTCCTCTACCCATCATGCTCCCAGTCTACTCGTAAGTCCAGGATCATCTGTCACCTGTGTTAGAACATAGAAACACCAAAAGGGCGGACAAAGCCGACCCTTAAAATCAAACCAGATGTAGATGTTCGGCGTGTTCTTCTTGACCTGGGCCAGCACCCTAGTGGAGGAGCAGGTTTGAAGCTGTGGGCACCGCCAGCCTCGCTGCCTGCTCACCGTGCCCCCGACCTCCACCTCGGAGCTCCACTCGAGCCGCCGGGCATCTGGGATGTCTCTTTTAATTGTCCACGACATTTCTGCTTTTTCTTCTGATATTTAAATCTGTGGTTCGGTACCAAAGGAGAACCCGCAGGGGCGGACGTGGGGACCTCCGGTGGGAGGCTTGTTCTCCATCCAGACACACACACACACACACACACACACACACAGAGGACACAGCTTGCATGCGCAGACAGGCGCAGATTCCCCCTGCATGCAACAGAAACCCAACAGGCATCTCTGCTTGTGAGAATTACCCTCTTTGTCCAGTAGAATTACAAAAAGGCCTCTGTTGAAATGATGATCATTATGAACAAAAGAAATGGCTTGAACTGTCAGAATACGCAGTAGTCATGTTTGTCTCATGAATTGATTAAAGCTCCCCTGCTATTACAGTGCTTGTCGTTCTCTGTGGTTGCATAAGGTGGTGGCAGATTCCATACTACTGGGCTGGGATAAAGATGTACGACCTGGTAGCTGGAGCCCATTGCCTGAAGAGCAGCTATGTTCTCAGCAAGTCCCGGGCTCTGGAGCTCTTCCCCATGCTGAAGCGGGACAAGCTAGTGGGGGCCATCGTCTACTATGACGGTAAGACGAGCAGCGCGAGAGTTTAGGCGTCAAGACTCTGACCTGTCAGGCAGAAGGTCAAAATGCAGAAGAGTCATCGAGCCGTGACTTTAGTTATGACTTTGATGCATCTCTACTAAGAATCTGTCTGTTTTTGTATATTTAAGCCACGTTTTAATGTCTACTGCCTAAAACTAATGTCACTAGGGAAATGAAGGAAGTATATTTCTAAAATATTTTTAATTAGTCAATTAACCTATACTTCCAGTCCCTGACAGTGTGTATTGTTTATGACAGAATTAAAATGCCTAATTATTTAATAGTGGAAAAAGTCCCTGATTCTGCGCTGGCAGACCAGTCGCACACAGAACTGCACTGTACATCTTCTGCCGGTACTGCGTCCATCTGGCAAAATAATTAGGATTTCATCTGTAAAGTTGGGACACGATTCACATTTGGCTTTTCTCTTTGACCACACCCCTGTTACAGTTGTGTGTGTGTGTGTGTGTGTGAGGGGGGGCACGGACGTCACTGCCAAAGACCCTGCCCCCCAGGACCTCTAGAGACTGCTGCTGCGTACTGATTTTACAACAGTGATGATGATATCAGTAAGAACAATTAGATGGTCTGTGCAATAGTGCTGATAAGACTGTATGTAATATCTTTGTTATGTTCAACTGTCATTGTTATTGACTAATAGATGAAAAATCTATTATATGTGATTTCTATATATTTTTATGATAATAATTACAAATTACTAATGGCTTACGTATTGGATGAAATTCACTTGAGAGCCCTGTACTTCGTGCACAGTGTGACCTTAATGGCCCCCCTGGATTCTCTGGGTCCTGGGTCTCTCTAACACGGCCCGGCCATTCCTATACCGCCATATATAATTAATCCTTAAAAAGTGGTCTTTAATTCAGCTCCTCAGGCCAGCAGACGGCTCCGATCGCGCGATCGCATTATCGAGGGCCCCACCAGCCGTAGGGCCCGACCAACCATAGGGCCCCTGGCTGTTTTTCATTCAGCACTCAGACCCCCTTCCACCACGAATAAGAGCACAGACTTATTTTGCTGCCGAAACCAGATGGCGTTCAGAAAGGCATTTCTTTTCAGGACACTCTCCAGCCAGCAATATCCTAAATTGAAAGAGAACAGCTTACCTAACGTGCAAAAGGAGAGTTTTACACTTTTTTTCTAAATCCTTCGAAATATTTCCGCTCCAACTTCCAAAAAATTGAAGCCTGTTGATCGGATGATTCCCATGTAACATTATGACTGGACCCCCCCACCTCCGTGACCCGGCCCTTTTCCCTGTGCATCCAGGCCCCCCCCGTTGCCCATGGCACCTGGGAGCATGTTAACTCCCACCTGCTCTCTCTCGCTTTAGGGCAGCACAATGACTCTCGGATGAACCTGGCCATCGCACTCACCGCTGCCAGACACGGCGCCGTCACAGCCAACTACACGGAGGTGGTGCATCTGCTGAAGAGGGTGGACAGCCAGACGGGGACGCGGAGGGTGTGTGGGGCGCGCTGCAGGGACGTACTCACAGGTAGCCTGACTCTAGATTGGCCCCTCCCTGCCTTGGCTCCTCCCTGTAGTCCTGGCTCCACCCCCAGTATCTCCCTGCCTTGGCTCCTCCCTGTAGTCCTGGCTCCACCCCCAGTATCTCCCTGCCTTGGCTCCTCCCTGTAGTCCTGGCTCCACCCCCAGTATCTCCCCGCCTTGGGTCCTCCCTGTAGTCCTGGCTCCACCCCCAGTATCTC